TTCTCGTGAAATTTGCTGGAAAGAAGTCCATTAAGTATTATGTCGGTCAAGTACTACAAGGAAACAACATGGTGAAATTTGCCAGGAAAAAAAAGATCTTAGACAAAAAATCTGTCTTTAAGTTTCCGGATATAGATGACATTTCTGAGGTGGATGACCCGGATATTATAATGCTGTTGCCTCCTCCCACCATCGAAAGAAGAGGCCAAATCTCTTTCCAAGTCTCATTTGATGGGTATGACATACAATAAAGCATTTGTCTTCTTATATTATGTTCATTTACATTGAAAATAAATGTAAACAATATTTGGCGTGTTGTTTCATTTTCACGTTTGGGTTGATATCTCGGAAACTAATAAAGATATCCATGTTCTGCAAAATCGAGAAAAAAGGTAAAATTTAGGGTAAGGCGCAGTTGCCCCGGTTTGCCGCTGCTTGCTATCAGATTCGTTTTAGCTATAGGAAACGCACTTGCCCCGGTTAGCGGGGCAAGTGCGCCCCTATGACATTAAAAAAAAAAAAAAAAATGTCATCCACTATAAAACGTAAATATATGATGTTTAATAACAGATTTTACTTGAATATATTACCAAGTTGCCATATAAAAATACACAACACGAAAACTCATATAGGTACATTTTGAACATCAATTAATTCTGAACCCATTAATTTAGGGGGTGCGCTTGCCCCAACTGACCTTACTACTGCAAATTTGTAAAATTTAAAGTTCATTTCTATTTCTACTATACTAATTCAACTGATGAGTGTATGCGCAGTAGTTTTTGCAACTTTGAGAATTGTATCACAAATTCAAAGTACTTTAGGCACATTTCAAGAGCTTCAAGCCCTTTTAAAGAGCTTCAAGCACTTTTGGAGAGCTTCAAAACCTTTTGAAGAGCTTCAGGCACTTTTGAAGAACTTCAAGCACTTTTGAAGAGCTTCAAGCACATTTAAAGAGCTTCAAGCACATTCAAATAGCTTCAAGCAGATTTAAAGAGCTTCAAGCACATTTAAAGAGCCTCAAGCACATTTAAAGAGCTTCAAGCACATTTAGAGAGCTTCAAAGCACTTTTTAAGGCACCCCAAGCACTTTTGAAAAGGGCTTGAAGCACAAGCCCTTTTCAAATCACTTTGAGGGCTTTGTGCTTGCCAAGCCCTAAGCACTTTGAGGGCTTTGTGCTTGTGAAGCACTTTTGAAAATAAAAAGGAATTTGTACTTGGAATTGAAAGCACTTTGAGAAAGGGCTTAGGGCTTAGTGCTTCAAGCCCTTTCAGTGAGAGCTTTGCCCAGCTCTGCACTTTACACACTTCTTGCATAAATAACTATTTTTGATGTACCGAGATGAAGTGTTTTTGTATTTTAACAACAAGACAGTCATAAAACTTACCATTAACAAAATGTTTCGAACAAATTCGAGCATTTTTAACAACGTTACAGGCAAATCTCCCCTATTGAGGCATCTAATTCACATACTCCGTTGTTTTTTTGATAGCTCGTTTATGCGATCCCCTCGATCTTTAAATGCTGCTAAAACCTCACTTTATCCCTTTCAGCTTTATTGAAGCACCCAAAAACGCCACAAAACGAAGGCATCTTCACAAAATAATACTTCAAAAATTCTCGGTTTGCATTGAAAATAACATTAAATCAGGTTATGTTTGGCTTTTGTTTGCCCCTCAGCTAAAATGGCGGATCGGTTATGACGTCAACCTGGAATGCCTAATGTTCGATCTGTATCGTCTACTTTTGTTCTGCAACAATACAAACTGGTTACACTGCAACCCAATAGTTGCTTGCGCATGTCATCTTTTATTACTTTCCAACTTGTATTAATTACAATTAAGCTATCCTTTTCTATTTATGTGAGACAGGTCAATTACGGATATAAGTAAGATCGGACGATAATGGCCGGGAAGCACGAAGGTAAGTAACACCCTGTTTAGCATTCGGCAATCCGTTCGACAACGGTTCGGTTTTTTAAATGTAACACCCGTGGCTGCATGGATGTGCGCTTTATTGAGTGTTACTTACCCTCGGTATTAAATAAGCCTATTTACTATTACCATCTTGTAAATAATTAATTTAGAGCATTGAAATTTTAAAACATGAGTATAGAAGTGCAAAATATTATTAATATTGTTATATTGATATAAATTATACTGTGCGCTCGTAATTTAGCGGATTAAAACAATAAGAGTGAATATTTCTCGAAAAACCTCAGACACTTATTTTAATTTAGGAGAACATCTTTTTCACTATTTGTATAGTTGTGGAACATCGAAAAATCCAAAAGGAAGGCCACGTTTCACATTTTTAAATAACACACTGTATAATATGACCTATTTTTATTTTTATTTTTGTAAAATAATAAGGAATTTAATAATATATATATAGGGTGGGTGGGTTGCTTTGAAGAAGTTGTATCAATTTAAACATCTTCTTCCTACTAATACCAAAATCATGTTAATAGAGTCGCTAGCCTTGATACACTGCTATTATGCAGATTGTGTTTATGGACCCTTTCTAACAGAATAGACTACAAAAAATTCAGAACAAGTGTGTACGTACTATATATATTGAACATAATAAACAGACGAGGACATGTTACTCCTTACAGATGAAAGAAAGAAGATTTTTACATTTTGCTGTTTTGATACAAAATATTATTTAGAACAATTGCCCAAAATATCTCCCAGAACTATTCATACCAGGTCAACAAGGAACATAGATAGGTACTTTCGAAAAGCCATTACATTGTACTGATTTTTTTAAATCTTCTTTCTCTTACTTGGGCCTACATTTGTACATGATACAAAAAGGAAATACAAAAAGTAGGGCCTATAAGCAAGAATTATCGAGCAAATTAATAAAATACAGACAGTTTGGAACATAAAAAACTAATAATATATCTATACTATGTATCTAATAAAGGAATTATTTTTAAACATTACGTGAATGCAAATCTGTCCAGGGTAAGTAACACCCGATAAAAAAACTCTCCGTTGCGATATCGGGTGTTACATTCAAATTTGCGAACGTGAGCCAAATGGGTGTTACTTACCTTTATGCGGCCGGGAAGAGTTTTCTTCTTGTTCTTTTTTGGGATGGACTGCACACTGGCAAATTTTCAGATAGACGGTAAAACGCCTCTAGTGCCAATTTAGCCAGGATTTTTTTTCTGCTATGTCTTTCTCAATTCCTTCATAACGCCAATAACGTTTTTGTTTTTTTTTTTTTTTCAATTTTTTCGTATTTGCCCAGGGCTTCAAATTCTGCACTGTAAATACTTTTTTTGCGTTTTGTCTTTGGTTTTGCTATACTCCCTGTAATTTTTGGTCCAATCTTTCCATGTTACTACCTTTACGCTTTGAACTTCAAGATATTTTAGCTGTACTTATTTTTCAGGCTCAATCTTTTCCTCTTGTTTCTCCTTTTTTTTCGAGAAATAAAGATTTTTGTTTTCAGAAGGTAGCGGTCACTACCACATGTCGCTCCCCTATTCTATGTATACGATCTCGTATCCTCTGAAGTTTTATGTTTGATCTCTGTTTTGCAATAGTGTAAGTGTAGTCAATAATCGATTTTTGTTGTCTTGGTTCATTTTCCCACGTGCGTTTATGTATCTATTTCCTTTCATTTTCTGCAAGTTTTCCTACTGTACATTATCGTTGTTTTTTATTCCTGTCGTCCATTAAACTCAAGCAGCAATATTATTTTTTCTACAACTGTCAAAAAATGATGATGTTCGCACACTCATGACAGTTTGCGAAGTGACACTTTATTTCCCAGGTATTGATTTTTTAACGTTCCCATGACGCCGTGCGCGAACTAGCTATTTCGCACACTGGGTGTCATGGTGACACATAGGTACCTGTCAGGAAATCAAAAATAATTAAAATTCACCTACCTTTGATTGAAAATGCAATTTTGGCTTCGAATGATTGATATTTAAATGGAGTTGTAGAAAAAATATTGTAGCATTTCGCGCCCTTGATACAAAAATAACTATTTCTTGAAGTTCCTTTGATTTTTATGTTGATATATTCCCAAAACTGTTTTTTTTTCCTAGTTACATTATATTCAAATTATATTAGGTCGAGCTGCTCGTGACGATAATGTTTATTAGGAATAAGTCTAAACTGCAGTCCGGCAAAGTCCGAGGAGAGTCTAAGATGCGAGTCCTCGACATAAAGAGTTTAGTCAAAGAAAGCGAATTAAAGTAAAGTAATTTAATAAATAGGCGCATTTTTCGACAAAGCGTATACCTATCAAAAATGTATTTTTAGAAGCAGATATACATAATTACACCACAAAGTTATTTGTTTCAAAACCTAATAAAATGAAATTCTCATAAGTCAACTTTATGAAACACACTGCATAAAAGAACTTAATATTCACTGGCTGCTCTTCTTTGTTTTTGAAAATTCACCCTCTACTTTCAAAAATAGAATAATTATTATGAATAACCCGATTCATTTCGTATCGGGACTTGATATATGTCACGTAAGACACACTATTGGATGATTAACTTGCCTTGAGACTTACCATATATAAAACAGCAATTCTTTTAATAGACAAACGACATATTTTTCTAATTCTCCGGATTCGAAATTAATATAAATAATGATGAAATTTCCAAGTTATTAACCTTGCTGCAAAACAATGCCACTATCTATACCAAAAATAATAGATATCTTAGTTTCAACTTGGGAAAATGTGCCTTTTACATATAACCACAATGCAACATACTTCACTATTTCTGCATTTTGCATAAATATATGACATAAAAATAATTATTGTTTTAGATTTGATCCTGTATGTATAGCAACCTTGGAAAATAACGGCCTTACAATTTTATCGAAAGGCAATAAGACGCAAAAATGTAGATATCAAGTACATACATATCCATATATACTTATAATTGAAATAATAGAGAGGAAATTGTTTTTCTTGAATATTCAAATTACACAGATTATGTTTTTTTTATCTAATGAGTTAATTTTAATTTTGTTTATATCATAATTTAATTATTTACATGATTAAGACATTTGAATATTGAATAAATAGGTGGAAACAATCACTACTAAAATATATAAAATTTCAATACCACAAATAACAGTAACAAGTAGGTACAACACGAATAATATTTCAACCGTGATAAATATTAACAATTACAATAGAACTATATATTTTTCCAACAAATAATTAAAATATTATATATAATTAAATAAAATTAACATCTACATGAATCCTTAAAACTGATATGATTTAATAATAAAATAAAATTGCATTGATTTAATAATTACATACTATTCTGCTGTTATATCAATAATCTAGATCTAGAAATAAAATAATCTATACCTTGAAAATGAGAATCTATGAATTAAAAATAAATATATTGAAAAATATACCAAATAAGCTCAATATTTTACAATCTACTGTCTTGCATATTAACCGTATTATTATTGTTGTTATTTCTATTCCTTATTACGCCATTCTCTGTGTCACTAATAACCGCTACACCATTAATTTGCGTTGCTTCCTCAACTCTTTTGGGCCCTTTCGGTTCTCTTTTGGAATTGAGTAATTCCTTAAAAATCTTCCTGAAAGGGGCTTCAATCATCAAATAAAGTGCAAGAGCACAAATAAATGCTAAGACCATGTCAGACGCTGATAGACTTATCTGGAAAAAAATATAATACAGGTTGATTTGAGTAAGTAAGTGCAAACCTGCGAATATGCATAACTAAACATTGCATAAAAATTCCTAACCTTGTTTGAGATGTAAATTAACATGATTGAAAGTGTACAGTAAATATTTGATTATGCAAGTAAATACAATCAAATGTGCAGAAGGCAAGAACTGCATAAAGTAGGTAGTCAACAAATAAAGTCAATGCATTCACTTGACCCAGACAATTCGTTTGTCGTTAGTTATTTTAAAAAAAAATCTTACCAAATCAAAATATGTAATGTATCTTGGATTCATAAATGTGGCTGCTGATCTCAGTTGAAATTGCATATGGATTAAGTAGGCACCTGAAATTATATAAGAAAAAAAACTTAATAAACTTTTGTCAAGTATTTAATTAGCTAAATATCTTGCAAAATAAACATTACACAATATATATAATTAGGGTTTATGCAAATTTTTTAACTTTGTCTTTATGACATCTGAAGTGAGATGATTCACTTTCAAATTTTGGTTTATTAGAAATGTTTTCTGAATATTTTTAGGTCAATGTTACCATCAAGTATCAATGGGAAATAAATTTGAATAAATCCACTTGGGTAGGTAGCAAATCTTAATGAAAAATTGATTTTTAAATGTCAAAAAGAACTAAATAATCGTTAACGATTAATTATAACTGAAACGCCTTATTGCTAGAAGCAATAATTAATCGATTGACAATAAGTAATTAATATTTGATACAGACACGTGTATAATAAGTTCAAGACCTACACACATCGCAATCAGGTGTAGGTGATACTTTCATAAATCAAATATCCGCGAAAATCCTTGAATAAAATAATTTTTTCAATTTTTGGATATGAAATTTCGATATCGAGAGGTTGTTCACCGAATAATAATAGGTATAGCTAGTCTTTCGGCCTTGTAATGGTTTGCAACCAATACTGCTGGGCTTATAAATTTATTTATAGGCAAAAATGCAATAGATGTTATTGAGGATGTGTCGAAATTATTCATCAATTTGGTTTTTTTTTTTTTGTGGAGGAAAATCCAAAAACAATATTTGAGAGCTGAAATCAGACCTGAAGGCCAAGATTCAAGATTCAACTAAAGAAGTGACAAAAAATGGAAAATGTCGGTTCCATTATGAACTGAAAATTAACTGAGCCTTTGCCCTTCATTGATTTTTTGATTGATTTGAAAGGGGAGTCTTTACAGGCAGCACATAGACGCGCATGTGGTCCATTGTGCTGTCCCTCCTCTTGGTGTAGCCCTGTCTTACCTTATACCGGAGTCAAGATAATTCAAATTTTGGGTAAAGCTAGAAAAAAATAATATAAAGCTAATTTTTGGTATATATCATAATTTAGGGCTAAATATTAATATACTAAAAGTCCTGAAGAATCCTCCTTCCGTAACCCCCCTTTTTCACCCCCCAAACCGCCCCTTTTAATATTTTGGTAATTTTCTCGAAAACTATCCACTTCAAGGAAAAATGTCAAGAAAGCATTTTTGAAGCTGATGAAATTTCCCTTGCAACGACGTACCGACTGCGAGCCCATATATTATCACGTGGTACGCACCAAGGGCGTATCAAAAGAAAGTTCGCCCCGAGATTAATTGAAAGTTCTTGAATGTCTCGAATTCACTGATTTTAATCAAAAACTATAAGCTTAGCGAAAAATATCGTTAACAATTTTTTTGTAGGTGATAAAATTGCAAATCCATTAATGTATAGAACGACCACCTAGAACCAAAAATATTGAAACTGCTGTTTAATAATTTTTTTATTTAGTTTCAAACAGCTACTCTTGTACCTACCTTAAAAAAACAATAGAAATACATATAAAAACACAAGTTAGTTTTTGTGTAGGTATACTCAGTAAATGTGGGGGCTCACCTAAAGGTATACTCAGTAAATGTGGGGGGCAAACTTGATAACTCTAGGACTGCAGAAGGTGATTGTTTTGCCATTGCTTTATTATAAAGTTGATGGCGAACGTCATTGATATCATTAAATTTTGTGCTATTAGGATAAAGAGACCTGACAAACTCCTCCCTACATTGAATCACATTTACTTGTAATTGATTAGGTAAAATCTGTTTTTTTTTTAAAGATAAAAGTCAAACTGACATTATGTTGGCAATACAATGTAAAATTGTCAATGCTTCAAATTTTTTATGTAGAAAAGGCTTGTGTTGCCAACATAGTTACTAAATTTTTGACTTGGGGAATTATCTTTAAAAAAAAAACAGACTTTACAGTCGTGAGCACAAAAGGTGGGACACCCGACTGACAGTTTGCTATTTTGGGTAAATCAGTCTTTTCTGTACAACGGATTTTTTGTCAAATACCTATGACAATCCCTATCATTGTCAACGATGTAGCTGGTGAGCATGTTTTACAATAGGAAAAGTCGGGTGTCCCATTTTTTATGCTCACGACTGTACATTAAATATCTGGCAAACCTTACTTAAGGTGGGATTTTTCTGTAACTGCATGTATAGAATTTTGAACTCGCCCCTGGGCTCGGACTCTGTAACGGATAGAGATCGTTTTCCCTATCGCTATGATACTTTCTGTTTTCTTCTCTCTTTTCGAAATCAATTAATAGAGTGGGGACGTCAATAGAAGTAGAGAAAATGACTCTATTCGTTACAGAGTCCCAACCCTGAATGTAAATATGACACAAACACGTGACAAACCCCATTAGGGGGCAGGAGAGGCTGCTGCCCATAAAATATAAAATCACATACCTGAAAAATACAGTATGATTCAAATTCGAAGTTCTCCATTGGGATCTCAGAAACGGCCAAAGATACGAGGCCGACCTAAATGTTGTTTTCGTTTAACCGACATCGTATCTCTTACTAATAAAAAAAAAAAAAATTGTTTGTTGCCCCCCTCCCCTAATTCAGATCCTGGGTACGCCCTTGTTGATAGCTGAGTAGTGTAGGATAAACTGACTTGGCTGACGTAATTGAGATGAACTTCTTATAGATTCGCAAGTAGACTAGGTACCTTTTGATGGTCGGTTTAGAGAAAAATATGTTTCTTCTAAAAAAATGATGCTTAGATCAAAGAAACAAGAATAAATAGCAAAAAGTATTTTTTTAAAGTAACCCTTTATTTGATACGCCACTGGTGTGTACCACGTGGCACCATATGGGCTCGCAATAAGTCGTCGCAAGAGAAATTTTGTCAGCTTCAAAAATGCTCTCCTGACATTTTTTCGTAAAGTGGATAGTTTTCTAGAAAATCGCCAAAATATTAAAAGGGTGGGGGTTAGGAGACGAAAAAAGGGGGTTGCAGAAGGAGGATTGGCCAGGACTTTTAGTATGTTGCAATTTAGCCCTCAGGCATAATCTCTACCAAAAATCAGCTTTATGCAGGGTGTCCTTAGATAAACTGACACATTTTACAGGTGAATATCTCGAAAACGAGAAAAGATAACGGTATGCGGTTTGTTCTGGAAGAAAAAGAATTTTTAAAAGTTTTTTTTTTAAGTTATAAACGAATCCTGAATTTGGTTTTACAGACATCCGATTTTTTGAAATAATTACATACTGCCTCAGTCTTGATGAGACACCCGGTATATTTTGTCATCATCAGAAAGCGTGACTTTTCTACTTTACAAAAATGTATAACTTTTTTCAATTATCATGAAATTGAAAATTGCACTTTGTTGAAGAGTGTACCATCGACTGGCCAAAAAAAAAGATAATAATTAATTTGTGTTTTATATGCACTTATTTGTGCTTATTACTTGTATTATTAGTTAACTATGCACTAATTAGTTAATAAAAGTATTAAACACAAATTAATTCTCCATTTTTTGGTTAGTCGATGTAGTGCAATTTTCACGATGCAAGTTCAAGATAATTGAAAAAAATTATAAATTTTTGTAAAGTAGAAAAATCAGGCTTTCTGACGATGACAAAATATACCGGGTGTTTCATTAAAAATAAGGCAGTCATTTTATTTCAAAAAATCGCAAGTCTGTGAAACCAAATTTCAGCAAATTTTAGAATTCGGCAATATTGTGAAAAAAAACTTTAAAAAATCCTCATTCTCCCAGAACAAATCGCATCTCGTTATCTTTTCCCGTTTCGAAATATTTACCTGCAAAATGTGTCAGTTTATCTAAGGACACCCAAGGCCACAAAACAACGAAAAAAAAATTAATAAAACAACTTCAAATAAAATCTAGCCGGTATTATTTTTGTCTAGGTTAAATGCTATGCGTGTATTTGGAGCTTGCAGGAAAGGTGCTCAGGACGGACATGGTTTATTTCTTCGCAGGTTCCAGGAAACTGTACCCGAGATATCGAAGTCTGAGACTAACGAAAGCGTCACATTCGCAGACTATATGCATGGTAGTTTCATCTACTTCGCTGCAGAACCTATATTTCATCTCATTGCTGAGTCCGATTTTGTGTAGGTGGTATCTGACCACCCAATGATCGGTCAGGACGCCTGTGATGGCTCTTAGTTGGCTCCTGTTTAGTTTTAGGAGGCTTTTTGCCTCTTCGCAGTTTGAAGAACCTTGTATAAAGATTCTCGACTATCTGAAGCTTTCCTGTTCCAGCCATTCGTGTTGGACCGGCTCCTGATCTTGATGGCTTTTACCAGGCAGGAAGCAACTCCAAGAGCACGCTCGGACCCAATAAAGGCAATTTTGCTACCTTCACGAGCCAGCTGGTCTGCCTCCTCGTTGCTTTTTATGCCCCTGTGACCCGAGACCGAAACAAGGGTGACTTTGTTGAGTCCACTGAGTAGCTTGAGGGGTGTTATACAGTAAAACGTGAGCCTCAAGTTGACCCTGTCTGAGCCAAGGACTCGGAGTGCTGCCTGACTGTCGCTGCATATATAAAAATATGTTTGCTCGAGTAACCTCTCTGGAAATTCTCCTGAGTGCATGCCTGTATGACGTAGATCTCAGTCTGGTATACCGTTGGGTATTGACCAAGTGTAAGACTTATTCTCGCCACAGTTCTCTCCCCTTAAACTCCAGCCCCTGCACCCTCCCTCCTCAGAGACCCGTCTGTATACCAGATGGAGCCCCTTCGGCTTGAGAAAGCCTTGGTCAGGCTCTAGCCAGTCGTCCATTGCAGAAATGACGACCTTGTATTATCTGGGAGGGGCTGAAGTTTTTGGCATTGCATCGTTTCTGGTAAAAAGGGGGTCCTGCCTGATGGTATCAGTCCAGGCCCCCGCATATCCCATACTCAGCCCTCTGTGAACCCATTGTCCCCAATCGTTGATTCTGACAGAGGCCTTCCAGGCCCGTGCCTTCACAAAGAGATAGAGAGGCATTATGCCCAGTATGGCCTCCATTGCCAACGT